ATTCTGTGGGCTTCCCCATTATGGTCTTGACTCCTTTGTTCATATTACTGCTCCTCCCTCACTTTGGTTGTACTCCAGATACTCAGCCCAATAGTTAGTTGTGGATTTCTGCATCTGCTTCTATCTGTTTCTGGAGAGAATGACCTCCCATAAGTTGTCACCTGGCCCCATAGGTGCACCTTGGCATCTGTGCATTTCACAGACACACACATACAATAAAAAGTGTTCTAACTTCTCTGGGGTTGTGGATTGTAAGCTAGGTATCTTTTGCTTTATGTATGGTATCAACTTATGAATGAGTACATACTATATTTTTCTTTCTGGGTCTGGGTTACCTCATTTGGGATTTTTTTCTAGTTCTGTCCATTTGCCTGCAGATTTTAGGATGTCATTGTTTCTTAGGGCTGAGTAGTACTCCATTGTGTAAATGTACCACATTTTCTCTATCCATTCTTCAGTTAAGGGGCATTTAGGTTGTTTCCAAGTTCTGACTATTACAAATAATGTTGCTATGAACATAGTTGAGCAAATGTTCTTGTGGTGTGCTTTGAGTATATGCCCAAAAGTGGTATTGCAGGGTCTTGAGATAGGTTGATTCCTATTTTTCTAAGAAATCACCATACTGATTTCCACAGAGGCTGTACAAGTTTGCACTCCTACCAGCACATCCTCTTCAGCATAAGCTGTCAACAGTATTTTTGTTCTTAGCCATTCTGACTGGTGTAGGATGGTATCTCAGAGTTGTTTTGATTTGCATTTCCCTGATGATGAAGGATATTGAACATTTCCTTAAGTGTCTTTCTTTCATTTGAGATTTTTCTGTTGAGAATTTTCTGTTTAAATCTGCACCCCGTTTTTTAATTGGATTATTTGGTATTTTTATGTCTAGTTTCTTGAGTTCTTTGTATATTTTGGAGATCAGCACTCTGTCAGATGTTGGTGGGGTTGGTGAAGATCTTTTCCCCTTCTTTGGGAGCCATTTTGCCTTGTTGCCCATGTTCTTTGCTTTATAGAAGCTTCACAGTTTCAGGAGGTCCCTTTTATTTATTAATTGTTGCTCTCAGTGTCTGTGCTACTGATTTTCTATTTAGGAGGTGGTCTCCCTTGCCAATGCATTCAAGGCTATTTCCTACTTTCTCTTCTATGATGTTCATTGTGGATGGATTTATATTGAGGTCTTTGATTCATTTGGATTTGAGTTTTGTGCATGGATATGGATTTATTTTTATTCTTCTACATGTTGATGGCCACTTATACCAGTACCATTTGTTGAAGATGCTTTCTTTTTTCCATTTTATAATTTTAGCTTCTTTGTCAAAAATCAGGTGTTCATAGGTGTGTGGGTTGATATCAGGGTCTTTGATCCACCTGTTTCTGTGCCAATACCAAACTGGTTTTAGGACTATAGATCTATAGTAGAGCTCGAAGTCAGGGATGGTGATGCCCCAGATGATCCTTTATTGTACAGGATTGTTTTGGCTATCCTGGTTTTCTTTGTTTTCCTGTATGAAGTTGAGTACTGATCTTTCCAGGTCTGTGAAGAATTGTCCTGTGATTTTGATGGGAATTGCATAGAAATTGAAGATTACTTTTGGTAGGATTGTCATTTTTACTATGTTGATTCTACCTATCCAAGAGCATGGGAGATCATTTCATTTTCCGACATGTTCTTTAATTTCTTTCTTTAAAGACTTAAAGTTCTTGTCATACAGTTCTTTCACTTGTTTGGTTAGAGTTATTCCAAGATATTTTATGTTGTTTGTGGCTATTGTAAAGGGTGATGTTTCTCTGGTTTCTTTCTCAGCAGGGCTACCGATTTTTTTTTTTTTTTTTTTTGAGTTTATCTTGCATCCTGCTACATTACTGAAGGTGTTTATCAGTTGTAGGAGTTCCCTGGTAGAATTTTTGGGTCAGTCATGTAAACTGTAATATCATCTGCAAATAGGGAGCATTTGACTTCTTTTCCAATTTGTATCCCTTTGATCTCCTTTTGTTGTCTTATTGCTCTAGCTAGAATAGTCTCATTTCTTAGTAGGAAGAGGTAATAACCACTGCTATGTAAGGTCACCATGAGAATAAGGTATGTCAGGCCCTGGCACAAGGTACATGGCAAGAGTCTGGAATTGTTAATTACTGTTCCCCCTCCTTCTTTACCTCCAAGACTCACGTTTAGTCAAATGACCTCAGATATTCTCTCTGAATAATGCATTTGTTGTTGTTGGGTTTTTTTGGTTGTTTATTTTGTTTTTTGTTTGTTTTTTGAGATAGGCTTTCTCTGTGTAGCTTTGTCTTGGAACTTATTTTGTAGACTAGGATGGCCTCAAACTCAACAAAGATATCTGTGCCTCTGCCTCCAGAGTGCTGGGATTAAAGGTGTGCATCATCACTGCCCGTCGAATAATGCATTTGTAAACAAGCTCAACCACCTCAATCCTTGTGAGAAGAGGCCAATGTGTTGAAAAGTCCTTAGCAATTGCTAGATTGTGGTGACAAAAACTCACTGGCTTCATTGGCAATGGGACGTAGGGCAGGTGACAGTAATCTAGGGCCACATCTCCTCTCAGGGGATCAGTGATGTGTACGTAGAGGCCAAAGCTGAATAAGCATTTTCTTCCCTTGCTCTCCAACTTCTTTTGTGGAGCCAGAAGCTAATCAATTCTGGTAACCTAGCTGGCTAATGAGTTCTAAGAATCTCCGTTTCTATGTGGATCCTGGGGATTTGAACTCATATCCCCATGCTTGTGTGGTGGCCACTTTACCAACTAAGCCATCTTCCCAGCTCCTGAAACTGAGGGATTTTTTTTAGCTATCCTGTGTTTCTTGCTCTACTTCCTTACCAGAGTCCCCCAACTCAGGGCCACTGCCTGGTTAAGACTTATAGATCAAGGTTGGGGTAGTTCTCTTCTAAGCTGGTGTCTCCAGACCCAACCCACCAGGACCTGCACCGGACCTGAGGTCTCCTTTCATTGGAATCACAAGGAAGTGCTATATTTTATTTGTTTATTTTTTGAGACAAAGCCTTAGAAGTCTACTATGTAGCTTGGCCTGTAACTCACTATGTAGACCAGGCTGGCCTGGAACTCACAGAGACCTGCCTGTTTCTGCTGCCCAGTGCTAGGATCACAGGCGGGAAATATCTTGCCTGTCACTGGCAGTTTGTCTTTTATAGCTGGGCTGTCAGGTGAAGCAAGCTTGTAGCTGAATGGGGGTCATCACACTCTGGGCTGAGAAATCACTGTTTTATGACCCTGGCATTCTGAAAGGTCTAGAATTGGGGAAGGGGTGTGCTGGGTGCTTACACATAATGTTCCCCACAGAAGAGCCACTACTTGTCAAATACTAATTGTCTGCTAGGTGCTGAAGGCAGCTGCCTCTTCTTCCAAGTCCCATTTAAGACCCCCAAGTAGGGCCAGTAAGATGGTTCAGTGGGTAACAGTGGGTAATGCTGTTTGCTGCCAAGGCTGAAGACCTGGGTTCAAATTTCAGAACTCCTATGGCAGAAGGGAGAGAACCAGCTTTGGAAAGCTGACCTTTGACCTTCTACATGTGCATGCTATGGTATGCACCCATCCCTCTCCCATGCTGAGGAATAAACATCTCTTCTCAAAAAAAGGGGGGGGGAGGGGGGAGATTAAAAAAAAAAAAAAGGAAAAGGGCATTGCAGTCTTTAAAAACAAACAAAATCAAAAGACCTTCAGGGAAGGAAGCACTGCCAAGTCCCCATGCAGTCACCGGGTTCTTCCAAAACACCACAGGCTTTCCTAATTGGTTAGTACCCCTAGTGTCCCTGGAACCATCATTATCAGAACAACTGTAGGAGAAAAAAATGGTCACCCAATAACTTACCCAAAGTCACCCAATTAGTAAGATGGCAACTGGTATGACACTCCCTCCTTTTGGGGACAATTCTTAACCTTTCAAACTCATTGTGGGTTAAGAGCACAGATTTGAGCTGGGCCTGGTGGCATAGACTTATAATCCCCACCTGGAGGCTGAAGCTGGAGAGTTAAGATTCAAGCCTGACTGGGAACAGAGCAAGGTCAGGGTCAGCTGGGTGACTGAACAAGCCCCTTTCTAATCACAAGTAAAAAGAGGGCTGAAGATAAAGCTCGGCAGTAAAGTGTCTGCTTAGCATGCACAAGACTCAAGCCCAACAAAATAGAATGGGGCTGAGATGCCAGTTGTAGTACTGTCTAACACACATGAAGTCCTGGATTCAGTTCTCAGCGCCACATGAAATACAACCGCAATCCCAGCACACAAACGTAGAAGCCACAAAATCGGGAGCTATACAACAAGTTCAGGATCAGCCTAAGATACACAAGACCTTGTTTTATAACACACACACACACACACACACACACACACACACACACACACACACGACTTAGGCTGTTCAGTGTCCTCACTAGGGAACCAGTTCATGTCTTTGAGCAAATTAGTTCTCCCAACTGTGTTGTTCCCCCCATCTCACCATGGCCGTGAGAATTTAGTAGTATGGGTTCAGAAGTTAGGACTCCTACCTACCCACCTACTGTTTCCATAGCACCCAGCCTCTCTCCTAGGCTCTTTACAATGTCAGTTCATTGAATCCTTACATTTATTTTCCAGAAGAAGAAATGGAGGCCAGAGGTTGCAATTTCTCTAAAAATTATGGGACAAGAAGATGATGGCGATAGTAAGAGCTCAACCGTAGCTGCTTTTGGCAATTCACATAGCAGGTTCATGATAAGGACTGTCCTGTTCCTGTGGTGGCTCTTGGTGCTGGTAAACACTCACTTCCCTTTCCTCCCTGGATGATAGGCCAGCATCCCTACACATAGAGGTTATGGGACCCGTGTGCAGCCCCTGGTCCTCACAAAAACTTAGGTGGGGAGGTACAGCCGCCTCCAGGCACCTGCAGCTGGTCCAGGCCTACTAAGGGAATAGGCAGGCGGTGGGCGGAGCCGGGCGGGGCTCCCGCCGAGTCCGTAAAAGCTGCGCTGGATGGAGCTCTGGCACTGACATCTGCAGCAATGGAGCGTCCTCACTTCCCGCTGGCGATGGCCCTGGCCCTGCTCGCATTCTGTCTCCTGACTCTGTCCCCGGATGTCCGCGCTGAACTGCGGAGTCGCAGGACCGGCGAACGCCAGAACCTGCCTCCCAACGACCCGCGGGTGCAGAGGGCCGCACAGGCAGCTGTGAGCAGCTACAATATAGGCAGCAATAGTCTCTACTACTTCCGAGACACCAGAATCCTCGATGCAGCCTGTCAGGTGTGGTGGCTGGTGGTTGTGGGACAGCGGGAGAGGGACAGGGACGGGACAGGCCAGAGAGCTGCTGGCCCATTACCAAACCCAAGAGGGCACTAAGTCAACCATGACGTTGAGCCCATTTTAAGAAATACTTGAAACAAACAAAAATAGATGAATAGCAAAATCTATGGCAACCAACGAGATGTATCTATATGGCAGGATTCAAGCTCTTTTGGCATAACTAGCTTTGCCAGACAGAGTGGGAGGGCCCAGACAGTAGGTGTCATGTGCCATTCTCCACATCTGCCCTAGCTATAGCGGGCTCTTCAGACCCTTGTAGGGCCTAGGGCTCTACCTCTACCCCTAGGTCACACCTAGAAGCCCCCACCTCCACTTCAGGTCTGAATTCTTAGGCCAGAGTGTTGCATTTGCCAGGCACACTTGAAGACCTAGAGGGGAAGAGTAGATACCCAGGCTAGGGTCCCAGGCGTCTCTGACTGCCCTATCTTGTCCCCAGCTGGTGGCTGGCCTCAAGTGCTTCCTGACTATGGACTTAGAGAGCACCGAGTGCAGAAAGACCAGAGTCTCTGGGGACCACATGGATCTCACCACTTGCCCCCTGGCCGCAGGGGTGCAGCAGGAGGTAACAGCATTGATCCCAGCCCAACCCTCTGTAGAGTCTGAGGCCCCAAGCTTGTCCATCCTGACTAGTCCATCTGGCCTGGCTGGACCTGTCCTGACTGGTCTGTGTGTGACTCAGGCCAGGTTGGGGTGCAGGGAGGAGAGATTGGGGCTTCTTCTTGGGGTTGGGAGTTGCCTGATAGATCTGGGATCATCTCCTGCCTTTTGACTTCATGTTTTGGTACCACTGACTGTCTGTTCCTGGCTGCAGAGAGATGTGGCAGGCAGAAGGCTGGCTGGTGGGAGAAGGAGGCTGGCACCAAGCTCACCCTCCTTGTCCATTGTGTTCCCTCCTCAGAAGCTGCGTTGCCGCTTTGAGGTCCTTGAAGTCCCCTGGAAGAACACCACTCAGCTTCTAAAACATGACTGTATGCAGGTGTAACCAGCCCCAGGGTGACAGTGGCAAGACCCCATGGGAACAAGCATGGTGGTGGAGGCGCCTCAGGTCCATGGACCCCATCTGCTGCAATAAATTCTTAGCACTGCTTCTTACATTGGCTCCTCCTGTGTGCCTCACTCATGTTGACTCTCACTCGACTCCCAGCAACTCTCAACACTGCAGCTGACAGGGCCCTGTGCCCGTAACCCCAGAGAGCCACCGCTGACCCACCTGGGGCATGCTGAGAGTGCACTCTTTAGACACTTGCAGTGGTTTCAGAGGTAAGGGAGGGAGAAGGAAACGTCAGAAAAGAGGGATGCTTCCCTGAGACTATTTATAGTAGGGATGTCTGTATGAACAGGACCAGCATCTCTTCCTGGGTTCACTCTGGGACTCTGAGGAGAAGGATGGGGATGAGAAAATATAGTCAAAAGCTGGGGTCAGGAGGGCTACAGAGGCTGATGGTCCCAACCAACAAGGTTGTTTGTGGCATCGCTCTTTGTCTTGCTCTCAAATGAGAAAACAATTCAGGGCACAAGGCAGCAGAATTACAGGCAGCTCAAAGTATCCTGTTTCCCTTTAGTGAGGGACATTCTGGGGCAGCAAACAAAGCACTTCAGGTCTCAGTATCTGAAATGTTTGGCCACATACACATGGAGGGAATGTCAAGTTCCCAAACTACAGCCCTTTGAGGCCCTGGCACAAGTCTATAGCTGGCCTTGTGGGGCATGACCCTGGTTATGTGAGGGGCCTCCAGCCAGTGTCCAATCTGGTCCAGTCCCACATTCATGATCACTTGAAGGGAATCCCACATCCTCTAAGCTCTCAGTACTTGGAGTAGTGTACAATGTGTGTGGGTGTTCAATTCCATGGACTCCACGGTGCTGGGCTCCCAGCTCACAAATACCCTTGTGCACACTGGTAACAGGAAGTGACTTCCTCTCCTTCAGTGTTCCCATAGGCCAAGAGGCCACGAAGCTAGTAGCGTGCCTTGCACAACCTCCCCAGAGGTATTTTCTCAGTATTTTGCTCTGGGCAAGATTCCTAAAAGAACCCGAGCCATGGAACACCAGAGCGAACAAGAGCAAAGCTGCTACCCTGGAGGTTTCCCTCACAAGAGGGAGCAGGGTCCATTCAATGTCATGTTGGACTGGAGGAAACAGGTATTGCATTCTTTGTGGTTGCACACGGGCAAATGGGGTGGGGGCAGTCACAGAACCCACTCAGGTGCTCGTAGGCATTACAGGCATGTCCCAAAAATGCTAGTGACACAGCTGAGAAAGAAACAAGCAGAGAACAAGTGGAAAGCACATGCCCCAGAGAAGCAGGAAGTAACCCAGAGATGAGTATACAGCCCCGCCCACTCACCCAAGCCAGCACTTGAGTCGTGTCCAGAAGTCTTGCTAGGACACACTAACAAGCATCTACCCTGGGGACAGGCCGCGGTCACTGATTGCTTTGGGAGCACTGGGAGGTGCTAGGCTCAAGCTGGCAGCATAGGGGAAGGTGTGCAGAGTGAGCAGACAGCCAGCCACTCTCCACCTTCATGCCTTCTCTTTCTAAGGAAGGCCTCGCACCTAACTTGTTCCTGTCTGATGCCCCTCCCACCCAAAAGCCGCGTAAGTGAGAGGATGGAGACAGCACCACCTGGGAGGCCTGACTCACTGAGGGGCTGGATTTGATATTGACACAGGGGACAACTTACAGCCCTGCTCCTGCTGGAACCTGATCCCATACTCATGGCAGTTCAGTTGGTGTTGCGTAACCACTGCTTGGAAAGTTTCCTAAGTTTTATCAAGCATGGAGCCAGTACAGGGTAAATGGCAGGAAATACTTGTTGAATGAATGTGTGAGGCCTGGGGAGAGGCAAGACTCATGGAAGCCCAGGTAGTGGTTTCTCCACCCTTGGAATCTGTGCCCAAATCTCAGAGGGCCTTTTCCCTGCTTGGTGTATTCATGGGCCTGGGCATGACTAAGCAAGGTTAGAGAGGAGTTTTCACCAAGTGACGTTTCTGTCGTAAGGTCCCAGTGATTGCACGGCTTCCTGGCAAAGACATGTAGTCTGTGTGTTTGTTGGCCAAACCATCCTCCCGCTCCCATTCTGGGGTTCCTCCAGCCTACATGACCCCCTAGACTGGTCTCCACTAGGAGTAAGGTGGTTATACATGATGGAAGACGGCTAGCCCTTGATGGGAGCCTCTGGGCCAGAACTTAACTTCACCTTAACTCAGTGCTTACCATAGAGTGTCTCACTGGAAGGCCCCTATTGACACAGGGACTCTGGACAGCCCTCCAGGGTTCAGGCAGTGCATGTGGGACTCACCAAAGCTCTAAAGCAGTCTGAGCAGAAGCAGCCATTTTCTGTGGCCCTCTCCCAACAGTAGCTGGTCCTTGTCACATGTCCCCATCTTCTCTGAGGCCAGGAGGACAAGAGGCCTCCTCTGCCCCTTCACTAGCTTTCGTGGTCTTACTTCAGGTGGGGAAGGGGATATCAATGACCTTTAACCTCCAGGGGTTTTGAAATATTCATGGGCATGCGTGTGTGACTGTGTATGGGTTGAGCATGTGTGTGCCGTGCCCATGGAAGCTAAAAGAGACAGTCAGATCCCTTTGAGCTGAAATGTAGGTGGTTATAATCTGATGTGGGTGCTGGGAGCTAAACTTAGGTCCTCTGGAAGAGCAGCAGTGATCTTAACCACCCAGCTGTCACACCAGCTCTTCCCCTATTTTCTTTCTTCTTTTCTTCCTTCCTTCCTTCTTTTCTTCCTTCTTTCCTTCCTTTCTTCCTTCCTAAACTTGTGTTCTTTTTAATTTTTATTTGTTTATTTTTTTGAGACAGGATTTCTCTCTGTAGCCCTGGCTGTCCTGGAACTCATTCTGTAGGCCAGGCTAGCCTTGAACTCAGAGATGCTCCTGTCTGCCTCCTGAGTGCTGGCATTAAATGCACTGCCATCCACCTTTCTGGTTAATATTCCCACTGGGTTGGTAGCCTTATGTTAGATGCTGGGGTTCCTAGTAAGCATGAGTTTGTGGGGGCTGGGCCCCATGCCTGGTGTCTGATGCAATCCTGATAATTCTGGGATGTTCCAGTCTGTTCTTTTTCGCCAGGCTTTGCTCCCATAAGCACATAAGCGGGGGACTTCACATTTGGTCTTCCATCAGCATCCTAGTCTCCTTTTGCTTGTTTTGGGTTTTGGTATTTTGAGACAGGGTTTCTCTGTGTTGCAGTCCTGGCAGTCCTGTTACTAAAGGTATGTGCCACCACTGCTGGCACAAGGCTCCTCTTTTGTGTCACCATTCTGGTCTCTTCTAATGCATTGTTGGACTGAGCTGGGAGGCCGGGACCTGGTGAAGCCAGAAGAACTCCAGGAAGAGCCCCTTCCCAGCAACTCTTGACATATGCATGCAGCACACTGCCCAACTCCCCTTGCTCTTTGCTTCAGGCTAGCCAGTAAGGACACAGAGCCACCTGGGGTTTTTTAAACTCTATTGGGACCTCAGTTCAGCACGGTTCTGGGTCATAATGCCAGCACACCTAGGGACTTGTCCCAACCCATCCTGGTAGGCCATTTGCCAGAGACTGGAGTCGATATGGTGGTATTCTGCAGGATCATTTCCCGAAGTCCTCTTCTCCAGCCTGTGGGGTCAGATAGGATGTGTATGCATGAACAAGGGTCAGCTTTTGCCAGTGTCGTGCCTGTTACTTGGAACCACTTTGGGGTTAAAGCTCCTACCCCCAAGCCCTCTTGCTAGCTTTTCCCGGCCCCATCCTCCTGTCTCACCTCAAATGCCGTGTCCACAATCTCATCAATGACAGATGCTTGGGAGCGAAACTTCTGCTGCTGCTGCTCTACCGCGGCCACCAACTGCAGGAACTGGAAGTGGAGCTCACGCTGCCTGCAGGTGGCAGAGGCAAGGGCTGGGTCCCCAGGCCCTAACAGCTCTGCCTGCTGTGACCTAGCCGCTCTCTCCAGTATGTCTGCTTTTTTAGATTTTACTTGTCAGTCATCTTGAGTATGTGAGTATGCCTGTGTACTCATGTGCATGTGGGAGTACATGAATGTATTCCATGTGTGTGGAGGTCGGAAGTCAGTGTTGTTGTTTGGGAATTTTGTTTGTTTTTGGTTTTCTGGAGACAGGGTTTCCTCTGTCTGGCTGCCCTGGAGCTCACTCTGTAGACCAGGCTGGCCTCAAACTCACAGAAATCCGCCTGCCTCTGCCCCCCCCCCAAGTGTTGGGATTCAAGATGTGAACCACCGCCACCGGACTTCCATTTTATCTTTTAAGATGGTGTCTGCCATTGAATCTGGAGCTCACTGATTGGCTAGACTTGCTGCCAGGCACAAGGATCCTCCTGACTTTATCTCCTCAGCACTGGGGTTGCAGGAGCAGCATGCTCAGCCACACCTAGTGTTTTACATGGGTGTTGGGATCCAAACTCAGTCCTCATGCTTGCACAGAGAGCACATTACAGACTTAGCCCTCTCTTCTAGCTCCTAACATTCTTATTTGGAGATGAGTTCCCACTGAGTTGTCCAGATTGTCTTTGAACATGTGATCCTTTCACCTCAGCCTTCCAAGGAGCTGAGTTTACCAGTGTACTCCATTATACCTGGTAAGTCTGCCTGTTGCTCAGTACCCAAAATGTCCCTGTCTGTGCCACAGAGGCATCAGCAGTGGTTTATCTTTTAATTGCCTATCCTACCATATACTTATTTTTATACTCATCTTCTTGCCCATTCATCTACACAAGCCTAATCATGGACCAACTCAACCACCTGCCTATCCATCATGTGCCCAGTCACTTACTCCACACTTGCACCCTTCCACACTTACCTACCCCTCCACCTACCTGTTCTTCCCTGGATCCACCCATTCAGTCTAAACAGCCATCTACCCACCCATCTGTTTTCACCTATATTCATTACTCACTTGCCCACTCATTGGATATTATCAATCCAATTGCCAAAAACACTGGGAATAGAAAACAGAAAAAGCAAGTTGCTCCAAGGACACTGAGATGAACAAGGAAGACATATCACCCTTGGAATCAGACAACTACAACACATTGCTTAGGGTCTGTGTCAGAGGAAATAGCCTGAACTTTATCCAGAGGGGCAAGGAGGAGCTAGGTTCAGACCTTAAGCTCAACGGAGAGGAAAAGTCAAAACTATACTGAAAGATACTCTTAGTGGAGGGGACAAGTAGGAAGTAACCCCCCCTAAGAAGTATAGCAGGCACTACAGTAGTGGCTCAGGTTCTGGAACATATAGGATGAATCAGGAGAGTGACCTCAGGTGACAGTAGTCAGGATTTAAATTGGCTCCCTTAAATCCTGGTCATCTAAGCCTGGCATCAATATCTAACCAAAAACAATAGTCTAGGCAGAGGCCTGGCAGGAGTCAATATGTGTCAGCTTAGGAAAGAATGTGAACAACACAAGGTTGTGCCATAGGTAGCAACAGCTGTGACATGAAGGGAGCTGGCACTAGCCTATCATCCTGGAGCCTGGATGCCAGGCTGCCGATCTTGGATTCTCCCAAGGTATGCAGAGCCCAGAGCCTGTCAGCTCCTGGTATGCCTTGTATAGTGGTCCAGAGCCAGACTTGCTGTGGGGTGGAGGCATGGGGCTTGGCTTCCACAAAGAACCTTGAAAGAACTAGGCCTAAGAACCAAGAAATAGCAGCCTGTTGCCAAGTACCCTAGTCTTCAGCAGGAAGCTTCAACTGGCCTGGCCAGGGATAGATGGGGATAAGGTGTGACCATGTGGTCTCCAGACCTTGCCCCAACAATTCCCCACAGGCCCCCTTCAACCTTCCCCATGGCTGAAGCCAGTTAGACTGTAATGAACCAGCAAAGATTCTGGCAGTGTGGACCTGAGTGGCAGTAATGGAGTATGATTTCTCATTGCATTCCTGCACCCTCGAGGGGCTAGAATCTGACAAGGTCAGGGTACTTAAGAGAAAGCTCTGCTACTAGTATGGTTCTTGCCATGCAGCAACTTGAGTCTTTCTCTGAGAGCTGGGTGCCGCTCCTCACTGTCGAGGGGTGCTGATGGTTCCCATGTCCCAGTTGTGGGTATGGAAACAAATCTGACTTCTCCACAGACTTTTTCCTACCCAGGAGAGACAGGCAATGTTCTTTTTCCTTTCAGCCCACCATCAGGCCTCCAGATCTCTTGCCCTGGACCCAAGGCCTCCCATTCCTTCCATCTCCTCACTTCTCTGTCATGGTGCTGAACATTCTCTCAATAAACTGCATCTGCAAGGCGCCCTCACTCATCTGGGCCTCGGCATCTGGGTGGAGAGGGGGAGAGAGGCATGGTTAGGAGGTTGTCCAGGAAAATGCCTGGATGCAAGAAGGCAGAGGAATCCCACAAGTTAGGGAAGTATAAGGGATGTCTTCACCAGGTATGGTGGTGCACAACTTTGATCCCAGCACTCAGGAGGCAGAGGCAGGCAAATTTCTGTGAATTGGAGGCCAGCCTGGTCTACAAAAAATTCAGGACGTATAAAAAGAGGTCTTAAGGAATTAATTACCAGCATGCCCCTAAAATGTTGCTCTTCTAGTTATGGAGCATGTTGTGATTTTGCTTTTCATTTGCATTAATTTTTTTGAGATAGAGTCTCATTGTGTGGTCCTGGCTGCCCTAGATCTCACTCTGTAGACCAGGCTGGCTTTGAACACAGAGATCTGCCTGCCTTTGCATCCTGAACGGTATGGTTTGTTCTTAAGAGTGACATTTTCTTTGTAGTGGCAAAGTGTTCAGCTACAACCCTAGCCCCAAGTCCTCACAGTGTAACCATTCCTGCTCTCTCTAGCAGAAAACATGGTCCTAAAGCCAGGCTTAGTGGTTCACACCTGTAATCCCAGCACTTGAGAAGAATGAGACAAGAAGAGTTTAGCTTCAAGTTAGGGTCAGCCTGAGCTACAAAGTAAAACCCTGTCTTAAAGCAACAACAGGAACCCCGTCTCGAACCAACTTCCCCCAAAAGAACAAACCGTACAGAGGGCGACAGGGCAGAAAAAGTGAACAGAGAAGATTCCAGATTCTAGTTATCACTTGAGTACTGGATCAAGCCACTCTCCAAATCCTTTGCATTCTCACCTTGTTAATTGGAGCCAATTTATTTTTCCACCTAGGTAACCTAACAGCCATAGGTGGGGATACACTTTGCCAATCTTAGTGCAGGGTCCTGAAGCTTGGGTTCTATGCTCATTTCTTTTTCTTCCGCTCTCTCTGTCTCAAAATTTATTTTTATTCTCTCTGTGTCTATTTGCCAGCATGTATGTATTACACTATATGTATGCCTGGTGACCACCCATGGAGCCCAAAAGAGAATACCAGATCCCCAGGACCCCCTTCTCTTGAAACAGTCACACATAGTCTAGGATGCTGTGACTCTCCTGTTTCTACCTCCCAAGTTCTGGGATTACAGGTGTGAATAACTCTGGATGAGTATATGTGACTCTGGTGGGACACTTAACAGCAGCTGTAAACCTCCCATGAAAGACCCACTGCTGCAAACAGAAATAAATTGGTAAATTATATTCAGAAGTGATAGTTTGGTAAAGCATAATTTGAAAGACAAGTAATGTCTTTCAAAAATTGCTGAATACAAATTGGTTTTTAGAGGATAGCCTGGAGTCCTTTGGACCAAAGTTCTAAACTTGGATAGTCCTTTCATATTTCAGATTCTATGGACCTGAAGCAGCTTGGCTACTCAGGAGGGAGAGGGTATGCAAAGGGGGAGAGATTGGCCAGTACCTGTTTTGCTGAGCTCTGTCAGAGAGTCATCCAACAACTTCTCATGGACCCGGGCAGCTTTCTAGATGAAAGGCCTTAGTTCTACCAGGGTTTCTTCATACCTGGAGCACTCATTCCTCCATCTCTCCCCCCCCCCAGCCTCTCCCCCATATGTTTGGTACCTCTAGCTTCACTTTCTCTAGGCCTTTGAGAAGCGCCATCTGGAAGTTATCTACTAGGACAGCAATCACCAGGCTGCAGAGGGGACACCAGAGAAGAGGCCATACTGTCCTCTGAGTCCAGTGTGGCATGACTAGGGTGAGAGGGCTGGGGTGGGTGAGGTAGAGTTTATCGTGAAGCTGGGCAGTGAAGCAAGTGCCTCACTTGAGGAAGATGAAGTACTGGATGATGATGTAGATCATGAGGATGGGGATGATATACCAGGCCCCTGGGGAGGGAAAGTGTCAATCAAAAGGCATTCCCCAATTCCCACTCTTTTTAGCAGCTGTCAGCAGCCCCCAGATGGCAGATGTAACTGAGCCACAAGTGTCTGCCCATGGACCCTGGACCCTGCCCTGCACCCTGCCTTCTGCCTACCTTGGGCTCTGCTGTCCATGTAGATGAGGGACCAGTCATCCAAAGTAAGCATGGTGAATAGGGTGAATAGGGTGGTAAAGATGTTCTGGAAGCGCTTGGGGTCCGATTTCCTGAACAGTGCCCTGAGCACCACAGAGAAGAGGACTGGCAATTGCTCAGGGCCAAACCAGAACCAGAATCCCTACCGCTGTACCCATCGCTCTCCAGGTTTCACTCACCCCCTTCCTGACATGCTTCTCCCCACTCCCATCTACCCTAGGCCAGTAGCCACCCAACCTCCATTGCACAGGATACAGAGGCAGGTAAACATGAGGGTGAGAATGGCTGTGATAGATGGCAAAGATTTGCTCAGAGTCCCGGTCACTTCGTGGAGACTGGTGAGGATGCTGTGGGTAGTGGTGGAGAGGGAGCCTGAATTAGTGGGGATGGAAGTAGAGAGATGTACCCAATAACTAGACTGGGCACTGAAATTATGGAATCCCTAATTCACTGGTGACTTAGTCATGTCCCCATCCTTCCCTGGAAGGTAAAGAGACTGGCCCTTGCAAGAACCCCAGGGAGGCTTATTGCAAGCATGCAAGGGGCCACAATGCCAACCCACCACCATCCCTGAAACAGGTCACAGTAGACTCCCTGGGAATCTAGGCCTCTGTGTCCTATTCCTTGAGAATCTCCACACCAAGACATGCAGCCTTGGTGGCAATGACCTGAGCCTCCGAAGGACCCGGATGGCCCTCAAAGCCCGCATGCTCTTGAAAACTTTGAGAATCCGGAACAGGCTGTGGTTGTAGAATGAATAGGAGAGGGAGTTGATTTGGAGGAGCACGAAGTCCAACACTGCCATGACCATGATGAAGAAGTCTGAGGGCAGATGGGTGCTTGAGTTGGGCAGGGACCCAACAGACCCTTAGCCCAGACCCACAAGCTTCCCTAAGCCAGCACCCTATCTCTGTCCCTCTTCTGTCCTAAGCTCCTCCCAAGCAGTTCAATGGCTCTTTCCCTCCCACAACCCACCCACCCACCCACCCAGATTGTTCCATGGGTCGTAAAAATACTCCATGCCCAGGGCAATTAGCTTCAGCACAGCTTCAAGTACGTAGATGGAGAGGAAAATGGAGTCCAAGACCATGAAGTACCATTCTGTGGAGACAGAGGCTTTCTTAGTGACAATCCCCAGCATCCTGGCCACACCATAAGCCTCCCTCCCCCAATCCCTTCATCTCATGTAGGCCAAACATCCAGGATGTCTCTGGCTTTTATCTATCTATCTATCTATCTATCTATCTATCTATGAGGCAAAACCTCACTATATAGCTCTGGCTGGCCTGGAATTTGCTAGGTAGGCTATGATACTCTCAAAGTCATGGAGATTGGCCTGCTTCAGCTTCATTCTGCTGCAATTAAAGGCATGTGCTGAACCCTCCCCCCACCCAAGCTCTGTGGCTTAAACACTCAGTTGCTGAGTTTTTCTGTTTGTTAAATGGGAACAGAAATAATCTGCTTGGTAGAGTTGTCAATAGGCATAAATGCATTTAACATGTCCTAAAACTAGAGCCTTGAACTGTGGGCTTGTGGTGAATCTTTTTCTGAGCTTCAGAGGCCAGCATTCTCAGGCTTTCCACCTTTACCCTCCTAGGGTCTTCTGATAGAGGTTTCCAGGCTCTTCTAGACCCAGAATTCCCATCACCCCCACTACCCACAGAACATAGTTAGAGCATATGCACCACCTAGTGGCTATATCATGAACAGCAAGCCTACAGTTGAGTGGGTTTTCTGCAATGTTCTCAGTAATATTTCTACCCATGGGAATATCACCAAGTTGCCAGGGGGGTGAAGTAACAAGTTTTAAAGACTGCCTGACTCTGGATCAGGCTCACAGGAATCCCTGGAGCCACATCAATTGTCTCAGCACAGGGACAGCGCTACCTGACGCTTACCACCTCTGATCTCTAGCTCTGTGAAGGTCTGGGCCACAAGGACGATTGTGTTGAGGCAGACCACAATGAAGATAAAGGTTTCAAAGCCCAGGGACTGAGTCAGCGACATCATCATTTTTCGGAGACCCCAAATGACGTTGCTTATTTTTTCCCAAATCCATTGGAAGATATTCCCGGAGTGCTGCTTCTTGTGGGCCCGCTGAGTCCCTGTAAGGAGGTCAGAAAGTTATGCCCAGGCAGGTCATGATGGGGTACAGTGATTCCAGGCACCATCCTTACCCTCTCTTCTCTTGCCCATTGACAAATGTGACACTGTGCTTGCCCTGTGCTGGTCTTGGGCCCACAGTTCTTAAACCTTCCGCATCAGGAGCCAAGCTGTTTGGGACTTGATGGGCAGGTCCTAAGAGTACCTGACCCAACAACTCCAGATCTTTTTTTTCTTCAGTTTTTTGAGACAGGGCTTCTCTATGTAGTTTTAGAGCCTGTCCTGGAACTCGCTCTGTAGACCAGGCTGGCTTTGAACTCACAGAGTTCTGGCATTAAAGGCATGCACCACTACTGCCTGCCCAGCTTCCAGATCTGTCTTTGCTCATATGGAAACTTAAGAAAATCTCATTCTTGTTACCATCCTTCTCTCTTGGTGATCTTGTTTCCCATTTAAGATCCTGCTAAATAGTCACTTCCCCTGACTGCTTTTCCTTTTCCCATTCAGTAAGTCACTTGTTCCTGTCAGATAGATCACGATACTGTTGCTGTTGAGTCTGGGAGACTGTAACAGCTAATATCTCTCCCAGTAACTTGGTTTCTCATTTTAGCATTGGTTTCCAGGGTATGTCCTCAGCAACTGTCTCAGTTTAGTGGGGCAAAGGTGGACACAGAGGCAAATGTCTTGATGTACAAGGTGGCAGGCTCCTGCCATTAGTTGGTCTGTGATTGTACCCACCCCTAGCTTCGGACCCTGTGACTGCAGCAATTGCCCTAGATTCTCCCCTGTACTGCCAGGACCACAGGCATCCACATTTGATTTGCCTCAATGGCCAAGACATGAACATGCTAATGAATAAAGCAGTGACTAAATGAAGAAACACTGCATGGCCTTCAGAATCATATAGCTTAAAGAACAAAGGCTAGGACAGGAAGCAGCAAGAAGAGTCAATGGCCGGTGGAATGCCTACGCAGGTGAGAACTGAGTTTCCTGATGTGTGGAAAGCCAGTTCAAGGTCTGAGCAGGAGTCTGGGTTTCGGGCTCAGTAAAGACTCACTTTTGCGCTTCTGGATTTGCTCAGTGTCACTCCAGGAGTCTGATTCTTTGGTGCTCTCTTTGGGCTGACTTTTGCTTGAAACATGAGAGGCCCGAGATTGAGCTCCCAAGTGGGATTGTGGCACGCTGTAGATTGAGCTTTTGGTGCCCACGTGAGAAGGGGAGATTCTAAGTGCACTGTGGGACTTGTATGAGATGGAGAGTTGTGAGGTGCTCCGAAGGTGATGGTGGGAATGCTCTTTGTAGTGAGGACGCTCGCCACGGCGGCGTTCTCTGTGATGATGGCGCTCTCTGTGGTGGGGATGCTCACCACGATAATAGGTAGCTTGATGGCCACCACGAACATGAGTTCTTCCCTGGTGGTAGGACTCCTCAAAGGAGTAGGCAGAAGGGTTCTCTCCAAATTGAGACTGCCTTTGTTGGTGGTGGGATTCAAGATGTTGAACCCTGCCATAGTGGTGTACTTGTTGGTGGGATGTAGTACCATAATGGGGTTTCCCATACTGGGAAGCATCCCTTTGGCTGCGTGATCCAATAGAGAGGTGGGACAAAGTTTCACTAGTTCGATGGGACCCTCCATGACGGTGCTGTCTGCTATGGTGGAGGGACTCACTACGTTGGAAGGACTCAGTTTGGGGGTGAGATTCATCAGGGGGCCCACCATGGTGGTGGATGGTATTAGATGATGTGGGGAAGTAGGATCTGATGTGGTGGTGGGACTGATGCAATAAAGCGCCATCTTGGTCTGAGTACTCATGGAAATGCTGGGACCCATTTTGATGGTGGGGTCCACCAAAGTGATAAGCTGGTTGGTGATGGAGCTCAGGAGGATGATGGGCTCCACTGCGGCCTGGCAGATGGTGTGCATGGGAGTAGGAATAATGTGCTTCATAATGAGCCTCATCCGTCTTCAAGGGTTGCTCCATGACTGTACTGGAAACCCTGGATCAAAGAAGGCTCAAGCACAGAACTCAAAGGACCTTTCCTGGATCTCCTTCTCTGCTAAAGCTGAGCTCAGCGCCAACTATGGCCCAGGCTTCTAGAAAGATCTGACTGTTTACTTGGAACTCTCCTCTTTATGATGTCACCAGCACACTTGGGCCTCATTTTACCAATGAGAATTCTTTTAGGCTTATCATTCAGAGTCAAACATTATTGTGTCTAAACAAAACATGAAGAGGAATTATTGTGTCTAACCTATTTATTGTAAATAAGAAAACCAAGCTGGGTGTGGGGATGCAGACCTGTAATCCTAGCATTAGGGAGGGAAAAGCAGGCAACTCTCTGTGAGTTCAAGACCAGTCTGATCAACACAGTGAGTTCCAAGTCAACCAAAGCTACCTGGTGAAACCCTGTCTCAAAAACAAAAACAAACAAACAAACAAAAAAACCCAATAACAAAACCCTCAACAAACTCAAAAGTACAGACAACCAAAGCTTAAAATGACCCAGCAAGGCAATGACAAGGCTGGACCAAAAAAAAGTTTGGGACACCATGGGTAAAACTCTTGCTGTATTGTATAAGCCTGATAAACCTGAATTCAGATCCCTAGAACTCACTTAAAAGTTGAATGAAGCAACACAGATGTCTGTAATCCTTGGGCTTCTGTGTAGAGATGAGAGGCAGAACCAGGAGACTCTACAGAAGCTGTCTGGAGTTAGGTTGCTGTATTCAGTGTCTCAAGGTAGAAGGAGTGGGAAGAGGAAGAAGCCCTGAGCGTTTGAAGTCTTGAGTGAATGTATGTTGTTGATATGAGCTGGCTATTTGGTGGTACACACATGCAATACCTGCCAGCAAGGAAGACCATGAACTTGAGACCAACTTGGGCTACCTAGTGAGACTGTCTTATAGAGAAGAAAATCTTCCTACAGATTTGGTCCAGCAAATGAGGTTGAGTGGCATATGACTATCCCTCAAATTATTTCAAAAGTTTGGTGCCTCTGGGATCAGGAGAGGACTGGATGAGGGAAATGGACCAGTGTGGCTTTGCATCAAGAGATCTGGCAAGAACCTATTCCAAAGTAAGAGACCTTCAAAATAATCATGTGTTCTGTTTTGTCACAAGGGATGACTTTTATTCAAACCTGAAAACAAAAAACAAGCAAACAAAAGAGCATCCATTTCTTGACTCTCTTCCCTTCCCCTTTCTGCACTCTTCCCAAGAAATTGAACTGGGGTAGGTAGTCTAATAGTATCTGCCAGATGAAGTCAGTAATATGGAGGAACATCCCCTCCCTGGAAGTGCTGTGGAAGGTCTCAGTCTCTCCCTGAGTCCTTTTCTTGTCTTCGTCATCCTATTAAGAATAACAGCTCACAGGGCATTGGTGGTTCACACACACCTGTAATCCCAGCAGTTGGGAGGTAGAAGGAGGCAGATCTCTGAGGTCAAGTCCAGAGAAAGTTTCAAAACAGCCAGGACTGTTACACAGAGAACCCCTTTCTGGTAGGGGGAAAAAAAGAATTTTGGTAATATCTTTGCCATGAAAATCTCCCATCTGCTCAAGTGACCACCCTTGCACTCTCATGGCTCGTTTAAATTGTTCAAAGAATAACCTCAGGTGAGGTAGTGGGATTGAAAGATGATGTTGTATGTGAAATGCATATGCCTAAGGTGTATATAACAGAGCAAAATCTTCTGTTCGGGGCCAGCTCCTCTTTGAGCATTAGCCAGAACCAGACAATTGCTATTACAGAGCTTTTCTTGCATCTCTGAGTGTGTGGAAGGCGTGTTATTTCTATAACACTCCAAATTGTTAGAACTGTGGGAAATCTCTTTCTCTCCCAGTTTGAGATTCCTGGGGAAAATCTCCTTTCTTTGGAATCCATTGTTTCTATCAGGCCTGTTACAACACTACATATTATTTGAAGTGACCAGGCAATCAGGATGAGTGAAAAAAAAGTTTTGTAGGATTGAGAAGTTTGAGTTTAGAGAAGGAGATTACTGTATGTACTGATATATCTACTGTTTGAAAGGACACTTATAACTAGGAGTATGTTATCATTCATTCTTATGTCCTAGTTTTTCTCTGTTGCTATGATAAAACTCTGATGAAAGTCAACTTGGAGAGGAAAGGGTTTATTTTGCTGATAGGTTACAGGTCTATCATTGAGGGAAGTCAGGGCAAGAACCCAGAGCAAGGGATTAAAGCAGAGACCTTGGAGGAACTCTGTTTATTGAATATCTTCCTTTGTCTTTCTCAGCTAGCTTTTTTTTTTTTTTTATGTTCCCCAGGCTTTCCTGCCTAGGGAATGTATTGCCTACAATAGGCTAGGGCCTCCCTAGCAATCAAGAAAATGTCCTTTCCCCATAGGCCAATCAGATGGAGACACTTTCTCAACTGAGAAATTCTCTCCAAGTCTGTCAAGTTGACAACCAAGATTATCTATCACAAGTCCCCTCTTTGTCAACTTGTCACACAAACACATTACTGTTAAACTATAACTTTTCCTTGTCCCCAAGATCTCATGTTAATATTGAAAATAAGACAATACAACTTTAAATGTCCCACACTCATTAAAAAGTTCAAAACCTGAGAAGCTACTACTAAAATTTTAAATTGCCTTCCAATAAAAATAGTCACATCACTTACAGTGATTTAAGGATAGATTTCTCAAATACAACACAATATGCCATATTTCAGAAATATTTCCTGTCATAAACTGACCAATAACCTCATGATGTCTTCAGTCCCCACTCAAGAGAAGCTTGAGTTGGGTATTGTGAAGACATTAAAGATCTTACTCCCAGTGCAGTTTGTCAAATGAGACTCCTTAGTTAGGAAAGATTCAAATAACTTGAAGGACTAGTGGATGATTTCAAATATAAATGAGGTGAAAAGGAGATAACTGTACAGATCTGGATGGATTTAGGGGTATGAATAGTTTTCAGGTAGAAGATGTAAATAAAAGATTCAACAATCTGGGGCTGTAGAGATGGCTAAATGGTTAGTAACACTTATTACTCTTGCAGAGAACCTGGGTTCAGTTCTCAGCACCCACATGGTGGATCATTGCCTGAAACTCCACTTCTAGGGATCTGATATCTTTTTCTGACTTCCTCGGTCACACACACACACACACTTCCAACAATCTGATTAAACTTGAAGTATCTGGAGAGTAAAACAACAATAACCCAAGCAAAAACATCTTTTGCAAAAGTTCCCAGGAATAGCAAGTAAACCAAAACCTGGTGACTGTGGAAGGGTTACAGCTAGAGATGGTTTAGCTGCCATAAAAGCAAGGAAAGAGAGGCTTGAGCAGAAAGAATGCACTGATGAAGTCGTTGCAGAAATATGTTGTGTGGAAGCTGAGACTTGAACTTAGGTCCTCAGCAAGAGCAACAGGTACTCTACACCACTGAGCCATCACTCTAGTCCCTGAGGACACCTATTGTTTCCTTCCTTCGTTCTTTCATGTATATGAGTGTTTTGCCTGCGTGTATTTCTGCACTGTGTGTATGCAATGCCCACAGAGGCCAGAAGAGAGTGACTGATTCTCTGGAACTAGAGTTCGAGGTGCTGGGAGTCCAGCCTGGCTGCTCTGGATGAGCCACCAGTGCTGGGTCATCTGTCCTGCCTCAAGGCAAATATTATTGAAAGTAGGAACAGCAGAATAGAAGATGCTCAGTGTCCTGCATTACAGGATATAAGCCATATTGTAAATATGATCAATTTTCAGAAGATGGATTGCTTACTCAGTGAAATAGTCTTTTTTTTTTTTTTTTTTGCTGGTGACAGTGGAAGCAGGTGATATGGATACTAACTAAACGGAAGCAATTTCAGATGCTGAGGAAAGAATGAAGGTAGATTCTTCAGTCACTTCACAGAAAGGATTGATGAGTGTCTTTTGAGCCGCTGTCTTACTCCTGTTATGTGTTCATGAGCATAATGGAAACATCTACCACGAGTTACAGTTCCAGAAGATAATGGTGCAATTTGTGTGTTTTTACGCTGTAATGATGAATAAAAAAGAAAGGTGGGAGTGGGTACTTTTTGGCGGACACCACCGTGGTGTGCCACTAAGCAAACAGGCCAGGCTCAACAGGGTTAGTGCTAGAGGTTTATGGGAGACAGGAGAGGGTGAGAGTGAAAGAGAGAAAGGCCATGTCAGGGTGGGGACATGAGAAACAGACAGACAGACAGACAGACAAGAGAGAGGAAAGCGGCAAGAGAGGAAAGAGCACTCTGATCTGATGGGCACTTTTAAGGGGTGCATTTGTCGCATAGCTGACAGTTGAAAGGCACCTGGCAACAGGTGATGACATAATTGCTCCCCTGGTGAAAACTATCACACACAAGACAGTGTTTCTCTGTGTAGCCCTGGCTGGCCTGGAACTCACTCCATAGTCCAGGCTGGCCTTGAACTCACAGAGATCTACCTGCCTCTGCCTCCCCAGTGCTGGAATTAAAGGCGTTTGCCACCACCAGACTCCACCCCTTATTCTTGCTCAACATGTTAAATCCAACTAGGTGGACTTCCAGAGTTTTAAAACTGTTAGTCTTCTTTCAATTTACATATGTCTCAAAGAACCACCAACAATTTCAGATCTCTAGTTTAACTCATTTTAAAGATTCAGAATCTTCCTCTTCTGCACTATATTCACTCCATCTTTTATCTGAATCTCCTTCAGTTTCTTCGTTATGATTTAAGTTCCAATTTTTAACTTAATTTGAATGGGTGTTTAGCCTGTATGTGTTTGTGCACCATGTGTTTGCCTGATGCCAGTAGAGGCCAATAGACCTTTGTGAGCCACCATGCAGGTGCTGGGAATCTATCCCAGGTCCTTGGGGAAAGCAGCCAGGGATCTTTGCTGCTAAGTCATCTCTCCAGTCTGCTCTAATTATCAGTTTTTAAATTATTATTTATTTAGAGACAGGGTTTTACCATGTAACCCTCTAACTCCC